CAATTTGAACATTCCCATCTATCCTAGTATCCTGTAACGTAACAAGTAGAAGAATTCTTCAGACATGGCATGATAGCAATCACATTTCACGCTAGCAGTGACATTTTCTATTACCAGGCATACTGATTGCATGCTATGGGAATTGCCGCCTAGGCATGAACCACTGGCAACCCTTTGTCAAGGCCACCTAACGTATATTCTCTCCAAGTCTCTCTACTATAAAGAAAGCCAAAAAAAAAAACAACTCCCTTCTTTTCCTTTTCACTTTCTTGTTCTTTAATATTCCAAGAGTTCCTTTCATCATAAATTTTCCTAAAAGTTCAAGCTTTCCTCTTTGCAACTTCACTTCTGTTACATCCACAGGTAAAGAAAGTAGCTGATCTAGAAATTGAGCTTTTTTTTCTTTTGATGTACACGGAACACCCAGGAAAATTACAAGAAAAAAACCGTACTGCATTTTCCTAGCTCATAATCCTGGGATGGGTTCTCTCTTCTCCCTCACTGTGATAATTCTTCTTTCAATGGCTTTCGTGAGAACTGAAGCCCAAGGGATCAAATCAGCTCGACTTCTTGACCTTCTCATTAGAGACTACACACTTAAGTCAAGTGGCGTACACTTCAAGACAGGTATGGTGCACACTGTAGATTTACCAGCGAACTTCTCCGGCATCAAAGTCGATACAGTGAGGTTTCGATGCGGCAGTCTACGAAGATATGGTGCTCAAGTTAAGGAATTTCATCTGGGTATTGGTGTATCTGTGCAGCCATGTGTTGAGAGACTGTTGGTAATTAGACAAAACTTGGATCTTAACTGGTCCTCTATATATTATGCTAACTATGATTTATCAGGGTATCAAATTGTGTCACCCATTTTAGGCCTTTTAGCTTACAATTTCGGCAGTGATGTGAATGTTAGCAACTCTTTTGAGATCGGAATTCATGCTGGAGGAAAACCAATTACTATAGACTTCATCAATGTATCAATTACTGCCAACGTATCAGGAATTAGGCCATTGTGTGCTAGTTTTGAAAATGATGGTAAGGTGACATTAAGAAACCCTACATCGCCATTTGTTTGTGTGGCTACAAGGCATGGGCATTATGGTTTGGTGATCAAGTCACCACCAGCACCACCACCATCAATGCAGATGATGAAAAAGAAGATCAGCCTGTGGAAAGTAGTGGTTGGGAGCTCAGTTGGGACTGCAATTGGTGTGATTTTATTGGGGCTGCTTTTGGTAGCAATGTTTGTTAAGGTAAAGAAGAAAGCAAGAATGGAAGAGATGGAGAGAAGGGCTTATGAAGAGGAAGCTCTCCAAGTATCAATGGTTGGTCATGTCAGGGCTCCTACAGCAACCGTTACTCGGACGGTGCCTATAATTGAGCATGAGTATATACCTTATCCTTCTTAAATTGTTCATTTTCTTTATGATCATTATTCTTTTTTGTAATATTAGATGAAAGGACAAGGAATTTGTATTAAGAAGAAGGGTAGATCAGCCAAATTCTTTTAAGTTCTTTGTATTGGTACAGAGACAACTCTGTCTCTTGAGTTCTGTTTCATATATTTTTTTTTTACCTTCCATTTACTTCTCTTCTATAATTTGCTGTGATGATTTCTGGTCTTAGACTATAAACACTAGATGATTCATTTTAGGTAATTAGGACAATAATCTTGGTTTGTGACATAATTTCTAGATCAAAATAAGAACTAATTCAAAATTTGAATCTTAAAATAATATGAAGGATGCAGAATTCATCTCTTGTTTCTTTTTCCTGTTAGTTCTCTTATTAATTTCTCACATTCTAATTAAGCATTCAGAAATGAAACCTACTGTTCTCTTTCCTCCCCCTCCCCCCCACTCCTTTTTGGTCGGGGATAGCCAAGTAGGAATATAAGATGGTGAAAAAACAATGCTCCAAAGTAGTAAAGCTGCTAGAGTTCAAGTGCATAGAATGCTGTAATAGGCGTTTGAGACGAAAAAAAGCTACACGTCCTATGATGCTGTTTTAAGACGATGTCTCCTAATGTCATGGCAGCGTAGGCATGTACCTTTTAGAATGACCATCGAGAAATGATTTTTGGAATACTCTGTGATATGAGGCAAAGTCAAACCTAATACTTGAACACGGTGGATTATGGAGGGGGGCTTAAGCTTCATTCATGTTCTCTGTCTCACTCGTAAATTTGGTTAAGAGATTGCAACACCAACAAAACCAAAAAAATAAAATAAAAAATGTAAAGAGACTCCCATATAGTCTAGATCACTGACAATATACAAGCTAGGCATGGTTTCTACCTCTAAAGGTGCGAGGAAGCTTTGCTTTGAAGTGGTTTTATTTTGATTACCCTTGTGAGTTAAGCTTAGGCGTGTCTAGAAAATTGCCAGGCCAGCCAGATTAAAAGGTGCAAATTAACTATGATGAAACCATCAGCAAACCTTTGTACCAAAACAACGCTCAAAAGGAAAAAAACCCAATGGCGTCTAACTTAAACAAAGAAATAAAATAGCTGGTTCAAACAAAGAAATGAAAGAGTTCATTAGTAGTGTGTGGTATTGACGATCCATGTATATAGCAATTAGATGGGGTTTGAGTTCAAGATATATAGTAGACTTTGTTACAAGTTCGAAATACAAAATCGCAACAACGACTTACAATGATCAAGATATTCTAGAGTGATCTTAGGAGTGTTTGTTATTGACTAATCTTCATGATCTGCATTGACTGAGAACTGCTTGGGCAATGAACCACAAGCTTGCCATGTAGCTAGAAGAACTAAGAGGAAGGAAGGTTCTAGTAAAAATGTCGGCACGCTGATCATGGATAGAAATGTAATGAGCTTGAATGTCCTTGGTAAAAGTTCTGTCGAATGAAGTGATTATCCACTTCAATATGCTTTATCATTGCATGACAAACTTGATTGGAATGCAAGGACAGTGCTCAATGTTATCAACCCATAGACAAGGAGTTGCTCTGAGAGTGATACAAAGTTCTTTAAGAAGCATTCGAATCAAATAAAATCCTGCAACCATGAGTTTCATTGCTCAGTATTATGTCAGTGCTGGAGTGTGCAACGGCAACTTGCTTCTTACTTGTCTAAGAAACAAGACAGGGGCCAAGATACACGCCATATCCAGTGGCCGACTCGCGGTCATTTGGGTTGTCTGCCTAGTTAGAATCACTGTACCCATTCAACTGCAGAGAGCCTTTGGTGTAGTGTAAGCCATAATCAAGAGTGCCCTTTGAATATTGAAGAACATGCTTTGCCACAGCAAGATGGTCAGTAGCGAGTGAGAGAAGAAATTGACACTGTATGCAATGCCTGATCCAGTTAAAGTGCAATAGTGAGCTGAGTTTTCAAGGAGATCACCATTAAATCTTTACATTTTGTTGCCTGCAGCTCAAGGTGTAGAAGTTGGCTTTGCAGTACCTGCCGTATAGAATAGGTCTCTGATATATTCTTCTTAGTGAAGACGAAGGCCATGACTATTGCATGAAGCCTAGATACCCAAGAAGTATAACTTCTAATTCCTTCCCAAGTTCGTGAATCAATCCAGTGATGGCATTCACATTATTACTTGTAACAACAATGTCATCCACGTAGAAAAGCACAAACATGCAAATGGATTGATTACGAACATAAAATAGAGAGTGAAACAGTTGTTATAACTCAATTTTGATTCTCTTTTCAAAAAATAATTTCAAAATAATCATTTGATTTCTCCTTTTAAATTCTTCTAATTGAGTCCGCGACCAAATTTAAATAAGCCCTCTTATTTTTCCTTTTATCATAGTAGTCCCTGGATTTACAAAACTTCTCAATTAAAGCCAAAATTAGTCGGGAATTTGTCCCATTAGGCCCTTGATCGAATTAGTAGGACTTCCTATATTTTGCTAATTTGACAATTTTAGTCATTGCTCCTTAGGCACCTGTCTTTCTTAAAAATTGATGCCTTTGCTTAATTGAAATCTGAACACTTTGTATTGACTAGCAAGTAAACGTATTCTATGAACTCTCTCTCTCTCTCTCTCTCGCTCTCTCTCTCTCTCTTTTCAATCTCCTTTTCTGTTTTGTTTTTTAATATACATTTCTTAAAAGGATTTGGGGTATAGTTTGACCCACGCAATTTAATAAGATAAAAAAATTAATTAGACATATATTTATTTTATTTTTATATTAAACCGTCCAAGATTATTTTTTTATGTTTGTAATGATTTTTTTTTAATTTTTATGAATTGAATAACATAGAACAACAAAAAAATATTTTATTTTGTAGAGGTGATATATATTAGTAAGAGATGTAGAGGCTACACTAGAAAATTATTTGGTTTCAGTTAAATCTAAATTATTGCTCTTCTTATATATAAAAAATATTATCATATAAATAAATAAATAAATAAGAGCTTATTGAGGAACAATATCAAATGTCTTAAGATCTTATTGAGGAACAATATCAAATGTCTTAATGTATTTATTTTTTAAACTCTTGATCACATATCTAGTTCTAAAAAAAATATTATAATAATATTGATATTTATTAACATGTAAAAGCCTTGGTAATTTTATTAAACATGCTTTATATTTTGAATTTATAATCATAATTTTTCTTGATATTAGAAAAGGGATTGATAATAATTATGTATTTTTTTGAGAAATAAAAAAAAAAAATCCAATTGCCTTCTAATTTGAACTCGACCTTTTGTCCCATCACTGTATCACCATCATGTCAGCTCATATTCTTTCTTTAGACCATTTTGACTGGGCCTTTATTAATGTGATGTTCAGTGTCTGTGGCCCAGTTAATTCCTCCCAATTAATAATAGAGCTGAAGCAAAGAAATAATCTCCTGTCCTAAGTTTCCAAAATAAATCCTCATTATCCTTCTCCGACACCAACACGGATTCATATTCAAAATTCAAAACCGAAAAATACATGAATCCAACGGTCCTATTTCTCTCACTCCAAAACATTTGTATAAGTCATAACACCTAAACAAACACTCATTCGCGTCAAAAAAGAAACAACCATCTGTTACTCTCCTTCTATTATTTCCCGGGAAAATTAACTTCCTTCAACACGTCATCATCATCTTCTCCAATTCCTTTCTCTATAAATCCTAGGGTTTCTTCTCAATGGCTGATCCCATGATTTCACAATCAAAGCTCAACATTGCAGCCTCCACGACGCCACGTCATCAGCATCATCTACATCTTGAAAACCCAACTCCACCACCGTCATCATCAAAGCATGTCAATCGTCTCCTTAATTCTAATCATTATATTTCCCCTTCGAGACCAATTTACTCCGATAGGTTTATTCCCTGCAGATCCAGCTCAAATTTCGGTCTTTTCAACATCTCTTTGCCGCAGCCGTCGGCGACGGCGGGGATCTCGCCGGGATGTGGAGGGAAGGAGGATAATCCTAGTGCGTATGCGGCGTTGCTTCGGGATGCGCTTTTTGGTCCCCAGAATCCTGATAAGAAAGACTGGGGGGCAGGGGCAGCTGGACAGAATATTTTCCGGTACAAGATGGAGACTAGGCAGTCACTGCACTCGCTTTCCCCTTTCGGTTTTGATGATATGAGTGATCTTGGTGTTAGTAATGTTGCTATTAAGACTCCTAGGAAGGTTTCTAGATCACCTTATAAGGTCGGTGTTTTAGTAAATTGGTGTCATATTTGACTTTCTTGAGATTGATGAAATATGGATTTTTATTGGGATTGTTTTATTAATCGATCCTGTTTTTTGTTTTTATGTGTTTTTTGTAGGTATTGGACGCCCCCGCATTGCAAGATGATTTTTATTTGAATCTTGTGGATTGGTCGTCACATAATGTGTTGGCAGTGGGGTTAGGGAATTGTGTGTATTTATGGAATGCTTGTAGTAGCAAGGTGAGTGTTGTGGGTTTTTAAAAGTGAGCGTGTGTGTGTTTTTTTTTTCAGGTTTTGGCTGAAGGGTTGTTATTTTTCACTCTATTGTTGGTCGTGGTGTCATGTAGGTGACAAAGTTGTGTGATTTGGGGAATGATGATGGTGTATGTTCAGTAGGATGGGCTCATCGTGGTACGCATCTTGCTATTGGAACTAGCAATGGAAAAGTTCAGGTTAGTTTTGGTTTGCATTTGTTTTGAACTTCTGATATATGCGTTTGCTGTGTTGATTTCAGTATGGTTTATGTATAGGGAAACACTTCAGGATCATAAAACCAAATGAAAACATGCCAACTTTATAGAGAGAAATAAAAATATTGAACTTGATGTTTCAAAAGAATGCAGTGTTCAAGGATTATTGTGTTAGCAAGATTAAGCGAGAGGTAAATAAATAGTCAGAGATATGGGTGTTGATCATGTTAGGGCTGACAAATTTCAACTTGGTAGGTGGCTGGGAGAAACTGTTTTGTCCCACCAGTGTTGATTCACCAGACTTTGAACGTTTTTATTCACATTTTTTAATTGCCACAGGCTTGGCTAAAACTGTAAGGTTTTCTGAACAAGGTGTTTAGAGAACGTATGGTGTATTGGAAGGATGAGGTGTTTTATGCCCATATATCATACGTACTCTTGGCTGTACTTGAACCTAGTCATGCAAAGTCTCCTACAAGTTCGAAAAGTTTTAGGGCATAGTCTCTTAGTAAGTAAAGATATAAAGTACCATCACCAGAATAGCTTGGAAATTTATCATGAAACCAAATAATTACATCTGTTCATCATTGCAGGATTCACCAGACTTTTTTCTAGAGAGAACATTAAGGATAAATAATGATTTTCAAAAGCCAAACCATTGCTACCTAGCTAATTTTTTTTACCGCAGACAAAAGTTTTTCTATTAAACTTTAGGCCTTAACTACTGACCCAAGATTTTGAAACTAATTCAAGAAAAAAAAAACTCTAGAATCAATAATTTTGTTTGCCCCTAAGAAAGCATCTTAACATGTTCACAATAAGCTCTCATTTCAGTACTTTCCCATTATTTTTTTTTGGAAGGTGAGATACATGGTTCTATATTATTGGTGTTTTTGGTTTTTCAGCAGTTCCAAGGACAGGTGGTATTTATACAACTGTTTGTCATGGGCAGTTCCTCCCTTGTGTTCATAATAGATTTTAGTATATTGCTTGATCATCCTAACTTTATTTTGCTGATATTCTCATCAACTCATATGTAGATTTGGGATGCTTCCCGCTGTAAAAGGATCAGAACAATGGAGGGCCATCGATTGCGTGTTGGGGCCTTGGCCTGGAGTTCATCTATGCTATCTTCTGGTAGCCGGGATAAGAGCATTCTTCAACGAGATATACGAGCACGGGAAGACTTTGTTAGTAAACTCTCTGGACACAAGTCAGAGGTTGGACTCCCCTACATTGTGATCACATTGATTGAACTTTTTGGTCAACCATTTTATGCTGTTTACTTTGGAGTTAGAGTTATCATTATGCTTTTGCATGCTTCTCAATTTCATAAATGCTAGTAGTGGGCATTTGTTTACATATTATAAGCTATCTATGCTATTTTTGTTCTGTTCATTGCTTTTACATTACTCAGCCTAATAATCAATTGATTGTGATTCAGGTTTGTGGACTGAAGTGGTCTTATGATAACCGTGAGTTGGCATCAGGTGGAAATGATAATCGAGTGAGTATTTTTTTTTTCCTACAACATATCACTATGATTGCTGGACATGAGTTCATGGTTTCCTGTATGGAATTCTAATTTCTTGTTGTCTATGTGCAGCTCTTTGTTTGGAATCAACATTCAAGCCAACCTGTGCTAAAATACTGTGATCATACAGCGGCTGTAAAAGCAATTGCTTGGTCACCCCATCTTCATGGACTTCTTGCATCTGGGGGTGGGACTGCTGACCGGTGTATACGATTCTGGAATACAACCACTAACTCACATCTCAGCTGCATAGACACTGGCAGTCAGGTAAATATCTGTTTGCAAATCACTGTTATTGTGCTTCTTTATAGATAACATGAAATGTCTGGAGTTAGAAAAACCCTTATTGGCAACTCATATCTGCTTTTTTCTCTTTTTGGTAAGTAAATATGAAATTGTTGAATGATTGATGGAACATGTGGTTACACCATTTAGAACATAAAAAATGTGGGCTTTCCTGGAAGCTCAAGAAAAAGGAACCCACGAAAAACTATCTTTACTCAATCTAACATACCAACCATATTGTACAAGCTATCTCTAATAGGACCCAAAAGATAAACCACAGGTTATGAAACCTCTGGGTGCGATCCATACTGTAAGATGGCAAAGAGCAAGTACACACGCTCATGTAGTCTTGGATTATTTTACTCATCATGTACCTCTATCTCTCTCTCCCCCCCCAAAAAAATTTATACCTACTTCATTTCAGGTGTGCAATCTTGTGTGGTCTAAGAATGTCAATGAACTTGTCAGCACACATGGATTTTCCCAAAACCAAATAATATTGTGGAGATATCCCACTATGTCAAAGGTACTGAAGTCAGTGTATTTATGATAATGGTATTATCTCTCATCACTCATCGTATTAAGATTTGTTCCTCCTTTGCAGTTGGCAACTCTGACAGGTCATACATTCAGAGTTCTTTATCTTGCCATCTCACCAGATGGACAGGTAGTTGATCCTCCATTCTTCATGACCGTACTTTCTCTTCTTATAATAAATTTTAGCAGTTATGCCAATCATTTCTTTTCATTAATGTGTCTTTTCCTGGTTGGAATAACTATTATCTGTTTCAGACAATTGTCACTGGAGCTGGAGATGAAACGCTGCGGTTTTGGAGTGTGTTTCCTTCCCCTAAATCTCAAGTAATTGTTTCTTTGAATGATGACAATAATTAATTGAGTCCATGCTAATATTTAGTACTTGATTATTTTTTGGAGAAAAACTCACCAGATGCATCTTCTTTCTAGTAGATGACAATAACATATATCTCTATTGCCATATCAATAATATGCATTGACAAGATATAATGATAGGGTTGTGTCAAGAGTAGATGTCAATATTTTGGTTTTGCAGTCCTTGCCTTCCATAGCAGTACTTACCCAATGTAGCAGAAGACTAAATAAATTTATGGGTTGACTGTTATTGCAGAACACTGACAGTGAAATTGGAGCATCCTCTCTCGGTAGAACTACAATTCGGTGACTCCAGTTGTTTGTCAAGAGTTTCTCGGCTTTGAGAAGACAGTCAGTCTAGAGTTTATTGTGCTGTTTTAGCATGGAAGGAAGGTGGTAAATATGTTCATAACCTGGAGATTATGTGTGCGGGAACGAAGTTGGTCAGTTTGGTTTTCTCGAACCAACCCAGGACAATCCATCAGTATGGTTTTCTCAAATCATCCCAGGACCTAATAAATCGAAAAAAGTGGGATTAGAGGTGATGAATTGTCTCATGGCTCTCAGGAAATTACTGGTTTCCTTTCTGTTCCCCCTTTGATTTACTAATGTATAGCATATACCAGTTAAATGCTTCTTGCATTGTATATTAACAGACAACAGCAAATGATGCTTTGAGGTGTTGGTTTACCGTTTACTCATAGTTTTTGTAAATAATTATTGCTTCCACATTTCTCTATCATTGAAATATATGAAATATTGCTTTGCTGGATCCGAATTCAGCTGGCTCGCTTAAAGATCATATAAACAGGAATCTACCAAATCCCAGAATGATCCTTGGTAAGGAGTTTTGCCGTTTGGTATTGCAACACAACAAACACAATTTTTTACTGGTAGGGCTTTCCATCAACTATGGTTGTGCTACAGGTTTATCAAAATCATACGAAGTAGTTTTTTCTGCAGAGAAAACATATAAATAAGGTAGTCATGCTTTACATATAGTGTAGTCATGCTTTATGCTTTACTGTTCATGTGAAGCTCTATTGTTTAATGGAGCATAATATAGAGAATATTTTTATTATTCAAGTGTAGTTAGGCTACATTATTTAATGTTAAGGGGAGCATGTCTCTACTATTTACATGAATAGTAGAGACATTTTTTATTGGTTTGGTTGAATTGAGTTGGTTCAAACTTCAAAGTTAAAAATGCATTGAATTAGATTTGATTAAGTAAAATAAAAAAATATTTTTTATTTTTAATTGTATTTTATTCAAAAAACTAGTGTTAAATATTTTTCAATGACATTATATAAATTAGACAAATATCGTTTGATAATATAACATTGGTAAAATTTGATCACAATTGAACATTTTATTCCTGATTATATTTTACCTGATATTGTTGCGCTCTTAAAAAATTTGTAAAAACTGTAGTATTTGCTGAATATATTTTATACATAATGAAATTGTAGATAGTCTTGCAGAGAAAACATATAAATAAGATAGTCATGCTTTACATATAGTGTAATCATGCTTTATGCTTTAGTGTTCATGTGAAGAGTATCATGGTTATACTATTTATGCTCTATTGTTTAATGGAGCATAATATACAGAATATTTTTATTATTCAAGTGTAGTTAGGCTACATTATTTAATGTTAAGGGGAGCATATCTCTACTATTTACATGAATAGTTAGACATTTTTTATTGTTTTGGTTGAATTGAGTTCGGTTCAAACTTCAAAGTTAAAAATGCATTGAATTAGATTTGATTTAGTAAAATAAAAAAATATTTTTTATTTTTTATTTTTAATTGTATTTTATTTAAAAAACTAGTGTTAAATATTTTTCAATGACATTATATAAATTAGACAAAGATTGTTTGATAATATAACATTTGCAGAATTTGATCACAATTGAATATTTTATAATTGAATATTTTGTTCCTAATTATATTTTACCTGATATTGTTGCGCTCTTAAGAAATTTGTAAAAACTGTAGTTTTTGCTGAATATATTTTATATATAATGAAATTGTAGATAGTTTAATAGAACAATAAAAAATATTTTATATAAAGTATTATTTATTTCATGATGTAATAGAAATAGTTAAATATTTAATATTTAAATTAAAAACAATTAAATATTAATATATATAAGTTTTTACAATTATTTCATAACCTCAATTTCAAAAGTATTCTTAATCAAATATATTAATTTATTTTTTGTTCATCTTAATTTCAACTATATTTTTAATTAAATATTTATTTTTTCAAACTAATCTTAATTAAATATTTTTTATAAAATATTTTTTTTTTTAAATTATAACCATAATAACTAACACATAACCAAACACACTAGTTTGTTTAAATAATATAAATACAATAAAACTTTCACGTCATGCGTTACACATTCGTAGTGTTCTTACAACAATGGCAAGTTTATCAAATATTGAACATATTTACATGTACAGCAGTCTTTGTCTTGAAAAAGAGATTTTGGGACAAGTATTTCAACCCCAAACCCAGAGTATCTTGGGTTGGGGACAAACTCCTAATATTTACATTTCAGACCTACATAAGTTATGTAACATCTTTTGTGAAGATAAAACAATCAAAGAGCGGACAGATAGATTACTTAGGGCTGTTGAAAGCTCTGTGGGGTGCTTGGATTATTTTTGCTCTCCAAGGGAACCATTTTAGACCATGGGATCAAGCTCATTGGTGGAAAGCAACAGGTACAATTCTCCTCTTGGCATGGCTCAGGCAAGTCCCAGTTGCTTGATTGGTTTGCTAGCTCCTTGGTCTCATGGGACCCACCAGTTTCAGAAGTAGAAGGCACAGCAGCATCCTTGAGTGGACCCCAGCACTCTACCTTGCTGAATTCTGGAATGTTTGAATGAAAGTAAACCCAAACTAAAGCCTCTTGTAATTCAGGATAGTTGCTCAACAAACTCCCATCTCCATGAAAAAAGGCCTTCAATACCTGGTCATCCCAATTTTTGTTTTTCCATGTGATTTAAGGGACTGATCATGATCATCAAGATTGAACAAAAAAGTAACAAACAATCAATGTACATACCACTGGGAGTTCCTTGCGGAAGATGAAATATCTGAGTCTGCAGCACCAATCTAAAAGAAAATGGCCTCCACTTATATGGCAATGAACATGAAGAGACATCTTTCCCTTCACTTTCTTCCACTCTGCCACCACTTCATCTCGGTACAATTTGTTGGACCATCCCTGCAACTGCAAGAAAATCCCAATCCATTCAGCTCATTAATCCAACCTTTTGATCAAGAAAAATATCAACAAAATCAAGCAACTCTCTGTATATACCCTGCTTCGTTCTGTTTATCTTCTCTAAAATTCAGACCCTGATGATTTATACATGAGATTTTGTGCTTCCCCTTATATTTCATCTAACCCCACGATTCAGAGCCCTCCGCCCCTTTTTTTCCCCCTTTCTTTCTTGTGCCATGGTATTTAAAAAGAAAAAGAAAAAGACCTTCCCGAGGCTCCCCTGTTTTCTCTATTTTTACACAATTCAAAGATTCCAACTAAAAAGGGAAATATGGTAGAATGAGCAGATTGGTGATCTCTTAATTTAAAAAAGAAACATGGTATTACAAAACTGGATTACCTGAGAATTGTTTATGGTCTGTGAGATGGCTAAAGTAAGTTTAGCTGTCATATCACTGTGTGTTAGAGTATAAGTCCTTGGCAGATTCCCTGGATGCTTCTTCTCATCAACCCCTAAGAACAGCACCTTCAGCTTTGATGCCTCAAAAATAGATGGCCCGAATAGCCTTGCCACCTGAAACAATCAAAACAGCACAAAAGTCACAATCAACGAATCAAATAAAGAAGAAAAAAATTAAAAACAAGCCAAAAGAAGCAGAACTTACAGGGCTGATAGATTGGTTCTTCCTCTTGAGCTTTGTACTTGAAGAAAAGAGGGAGCTGTTTTGGTCAAAGAGAGATGGTCTTGGCTTTGAAGGAAGAAAGGGGGCAACTGCCATAGAACCCATCTCTATTTTCTCGATATCCCACTACTCTCAAAGTAAGAGCAGAAGTTAGACCTTATAGCCCGACTTATTGGGCGCGCCAGAAGATTGGAAGTGCAGTTCACGAAAATGTTACGAACACTATTAACCAGTAGAGAAAGTTCAGGAGATTTCGAAACTAGAGGGAGGTTTTTCGCTTTTGCTTTGCTTGCATGCTTTAACTTTAGAGACTTTGAAGTTTCAAACAGACAAGCAATGGTAGTCCAAAAAAACAGCCCAAGAAGTAAGAAGCTGGCGTCTTTTGGACAAATATGATTTGTTTTCTGAAAATAGCGACTGCGACATTTTTGGATGAAAAAAATTGTATGATTTGTTTGCTTGCATAGTATTAATCTGAAAAGAATTACAAATAAAGTTGACCCAATTCATTATTCAATGTTTTAATCATCTGCTAATCCATTGATGTTGAGATATCAATTTATTGATAGCCAAATCTAAACTGCATGCACCCCTACCACTCCAGATAAATCAACCCAATTCAGCCACTATTCTCATATTAAAATGTAATGCATTCTTATCTCAAATCTTGCTGCTGTGATGGTACTGTGTTTCAAAAGTGTTTTTGTATTTTTTTTCTTTTATTTTTCTTATTTCTCTAGTTATTGGTATTAGAAGGAGAAGGAAAGGGATAAATTTTGATTTTTCCCTCTTTCTTTTCTATTTTTTTGAAGATTTTTTTATCTAGCCCTTTGGACGCTACTAGGGGCCTGCTTTCAATTAAAGACAAATTACTTTTGATTATTATTGAAATGAACAAAAGCATTAATTAGTTATATGAATTAGATATATAATACAATTCGATACATCTGGAATGGGTTTTTTAGTTTGATAAATTCGTGAACTTCTTGTATCTAATTTCATCATGTTTAATATGCCTTTTGCTTGTGATTCTAAGGGCAGATGATGGTGCAACAATGTCACAAACTGCCTTTTCCCCGTAAGAATACTCAGTTAGGTTCATCTAAGCTAATGGGAAATCAAATTGCTTTCTAGGGATTATGAACAATAAATGATAATTTAATCCTCAAGAAATATGATTCATGAAATATTCCACATTTTGTTGTGTTTAGTTCTATGGGAAAATCCTCAAGAATCTCACATTGTTGTGTTTTGGGGGAAAAAAATCAATAATGTATGATTTTATATCTTACAAACCCACTCTATTAACTCTCTCCATCAAGTCCAATGCCTTTAATGGAACCTTTTTATGGTTTTAATAATGGAATGGTTTCCATGAATTTTTAGTGCAAATAGTAATTTGAAATTATGGGAATGAATTACGATCAATGATCTAGTGATTCTCATGGCTACATTGAAGCCACTATCTGGATGCTTGCTCACATAACAAGCTTGCTTCGTAACACTGTAATTAGGTTGAAAAACTATCTCAAAATAATGATAAACAAATTAAAAATGGACTAATTAAGATGAGAAAGTAAAATATTTATATACATAAAAACATAAAGGATATCATAGAAAACATGTTTAAGTTAAATATATATTTTTTCCATTTTTCTCTAAATGAAAAATAATATAATATGAATATATTTTTCAAGGTGGAAAAATATTATGAAACTTTAAGAAAATAATATTTTTCTATACATCAGAAGATAAAGGATATAATAGAATTTATGTTAGACTAGTTAATTAGATTCTTTATTTAACTGGATAATTAGAATTTTTATTAGATTATAATAGATAAAGATGTAATTTCTATAAGCATTAATGTATTCTGAATTTAAAAATATAAATCAATCAATAAATACTTATGAGAAATACCTGTGAGGTTTAAACACTTGAACCTCATAAGCTGAAAAGGGGGGAAAAGGATATCAAATCAATCAATCAATAAATTCTTTATTTACGTTTATTGTTTTCAATAATAATTGATATCAAATCTTAGGTTGAAAAGGAGAAAAAAATGAATCATTGCGGCAGGCAACAAAAATGTAAAGATGCACGCGTAGTAGCAACGTCTTTGACAGAACTAGACTTGATAGAAGCAGAAGTAGCAGACTTTTCTCTTCGTGTCAAGACATAGCAACAACCTCCTCTTGTAGTTCTTCATACAAGCAGCAGCATCAACATATAATAGCAGTAGCAGCCTCTCGTTGCAGCAGAAAACAGACGCGGTGAACAAAAACAATCCAGCGCTAGTGTTTAAACAAGTCCAGCAGATCACTTTCCAAATCAGTCCTCCCAGCAACTTCACACATTCCAGCAGAGCGGTAATCAACGGGTCGCAGCAGCAGCAGCAACTTAAAAAAGGAAGCGACAACTTCTTGTTTTGCAGCAACCTTCTTAAACTAGCAGGAGCTTGAAGCAACAACTTCGGACAGGTACAATAACAGCCTCCAAACAGGGACACCAGCAACTTTCATATAGCTAGTAGTAGCTCTCAACAATTTCCAAACATTCCACGTTCTAGATCACTAAGGCAGCAGAGAGCAGTAATTTTTTAACGCATCACCATCAATAAGTTACACGACTAGTAACTAGTCAAGGCAGCATCAACCTACAACAAAGATTAGAGAACAATAGAGAATCAACAAGTAATTATTGGAAACAAAAAGGATCCTTTACGATAATTATAACAATTTTAACAATCATGGCTTCCAATAATTTTGTTCAACAAACCAATTAAAAAAATCATGAAACAGGCAATTTTAACAATCATGAAACTTACTACAACTTGTACGGATGAATAAAATAGTGTTTATGAAAAACAAATCACACTATTATAGATAAGGTCCAAAGTGTTTGACAAATAGTAGCTTACGAAATAATTTTTTTGCTTGAAACAGTAAATTAGAGCAATTATATTTTGAATTAAAGTCTCATATTTGTCATTCAAGATAAACTACTAAACAAAGCTTAAAATGTATAAAGACTGATGATTCATCTCAGAGTTTTTAGTCACATTACCTGTATCTATATTCTAAATCAAAAGAGAAAAAAGCTTGATAGCAAGAGAGAAAATTGTATTTTTCTTGGTATTAGTTATAATTAAAAAATTTATAAACTATATAATTCTAACATCAGAAAAGTTATTATTAGTCATGATGTTATGTTCTTATGAAGCTAAAATTTAAATATGAAACAATGATGATGTTAAATAAAATTTTCGAGTGAATTTAGATGGTGATAATGATAAAGGAAGAGAAAAGCCCACAAAGAAAATGTTATAACTAGTAGATTATTAAATCACATCTAATAGTCAAATGTCACAACCTGTTAAAAAAAAAAAAACTTATATAGACTAGTGATTATGAGGTAACAATAATTGATGAATATGATGACCCACTTGCTTATTTTTTCTATTCTCATAGTGTAACTCTATGACTTTTTGAAAAAATGCTAGAAATAAAGAAATTAATGTCATTAAAAAAAACAAATATGTGGGAATTGAGAGAGTTTTCAAAAGAACAAAAGATAATTGGTGTAACTTGAGTGTATAAGAAAAAATTATAAAATTCACAAATATAAAACACAATTATAAAATTATAAAAAAGAGTACGGGTGTCGATTATAAATTTTTTTTTTTATTGTTGCTTTGGTTGCAAGGGATAGGAAAATAAAATTAATCATTATTTTGGCAATTCAAAATTCATGGTATATTTTCAAATTGGATGTGAAGTCAACTTTTCGACGTAGAAACCCTTCAAGAACAAGTATGTGTTAATCAACTTCTTTGTAAAGTGAAATTTGATAATGAACCTAGCTAAAGTATATAAATTGAAAATGGTTTTGTATGGGTTACATCAAGCTCCAACAGCATAGTGTTTCTTTCTTTCTTTCTTGAAGATAAAGTATTTGTTAATCAACCTCTTTGATACGTGAAATTTGGTAATAAATATAAAGTGCAAGGAAGGATTTAAAATTAAGATATAATATACTTATTTTTAATTAAAATTGAAGATGAAAAAAAGATGTTCTTTGTTATGCTTTATATGTATTATGTAAATGATTTAATTTTAGAGCCATGTTTGAAAAATGTAATATTGAGTTTCCTAAAAACTTATATGTATGCTTATTTGTAGATAATATTTTAAGATTTCTCAAGAAGCAATGTATATTTGCGTGTTTTTTTCGATTCTTTTATTTGCATGTGGTTTCTATTTTTATTTTTGTTGGTCATCACTTGCTTAATTTTTATTTTATCTCAACATCGAGCTATTTTTATGTTTGCCAATTTCATTTTTAATAGTTAATTTAATTGATTTTTTTTAATAATAGTTGTTGCGGTTGGAAGGTTTGGTTTGACAATTAACTAAATTAATTTGGTTGGGTGATTTTTCTTCTTGCATTATTTTTAGTTTTACATTTTATTATTTAGTTTACTTGAGAGTTTATCTTTTTATTTTATTTAATTATTTATGTGTGAGGTTATTATGATTTTACAATTAAGTTATGAATTTAATATGATAACTCAAGTAAATTTTTTTATCTTTTTAAAAAATAATTATTTTTTTTATTTTTTTTCAGCATTTTATTTGCTAATAATTGAATTTTAATTTTTTTATTTATAAGATTATTTTGTTCTTATTTGATTTTTACTTTGATATCAAATAAGATCTTTTAAGAATATCTAAATAATATTAACTTTTTTTTATAATCATATCAGTATGATCATATTATTAATTGCTCTTTTTTATTATTATTAACTTTTTTTATAATCATATTATTAAATTATCCAAATAAATTCTATATTTTTTACTCATTTCAAAATATTATCACCCAAGCTTCTTTTTTTTATTAAAAAAAATTACCCAAATCATAACATAGTGCTGGCTAGGATAGTCTTTTATATATTATCTCAAATGATGGAAGATGGCCCTCTAATATACACGCATCTTCTTATAAAAAAAAAAAGATTTGATTTCATTAGAGGAAAACCAAATTAATAGGCATAACTTATTTAATTGTGTAGTATAAAACCGTGCATGCCTGTCATCCTCGCGGTGTCTTACATGCCTACTGGGTTTGCAGGATATTCAATGGGCCGTGGGGATTAGTCGTGGTGCGTGCAAGCTGGCCCAAACACCCCACGTAAATCAAAAAAAAAAAAAACCGTTACCATTATAAAAAAGCAAACCAAACATGAACTTATCTAAACAAGCTGAGAGATTCAAAAGAAGTTATTCGTGCTCAGTTGTACAAATCCAGAAAGAAGAAGACGAAAAAAAGCATACAATTCATCTCGGAACT